TTGTTACTACTAGTAAGGCACTTGTTACTAGAAGCGATGCACTTGTTCCTAATAGCTTCTTGTTACTAGTTGTTTTTGGTTGCTCCTTGCGAATTCTCTGCCCCTTGTCGGAAACGCACCCACTGAGCACATGGTCTCCATGGTGGCTAGATGGTCATGCGTTGCCATGCGCTGAGGCGACCACGCCAGGAGAGTATAGTGACAAACTTCCGTGCTGGCGTAGGCCTGCACAAGCTCCAAATGGGCTCACGGTCGTAACTGAACCTCCAGTCCATCCCAGGACACGTGACTAGAGGGAACAATTGTTGAATTATGATATTTGTGCGCCAAATATAGCCGAGTCAATGCAAACACCCACACATCCTCACATAATATAGCTTGACCAGATCGAGACGTGAACAACACCCAGTCACACTGTGATCTGCCACTAGCAACTGTGATCAACTCATGCCTCAAGTCTTGAAGGTGTAAACCTAATGCATAGAACCACAATGAAATTGTGTTTAGAACAAGTAGACTCCCTGCATCTCGTTTCTCACTATATTCTTCACTGTTGATAAACACATGTGTGAGGTTAAGTTTCCAAAAAAATGGAACCAAATGAATAGTGCGAGGGCGTCTTCAAGGAAGCTTCCCCCCGCCCTCAGGCTAAGTAGTAGCTTAAGTAAGGTACTAGCCACCTCTAGCTACTACTAGCTACCTCTAGCTACCTCTACGGCCTACGGTTACCCCCCTCAAAAAAGAAACAACAACAACAACAAAAACGTATTTTTTTTGGCCTGGGCCAGGCGCACTAGTTCCATCGGCGTGATCTCACTGAGCCGTGGCCTAAGACGGCGGTCGAACCAACGGGGCATGCGGTGGAACCCACTGAGCTGGCCCAGTGCGTTTGAGGGACTTCATTCTCTCGAGTGAAGAACGCATCCGTGATGAGCTCTGTATTCCAACTGACAGATTGGTATTGTTGATTTGACAGCTTGCGGTGGATGTCTATTGATTTGGTATATGCGTCTTCTTTGTGCAATTGTCTGGAGGCCTCCAATGATCCTCCAATGTGAGTTTTGGAGATATTTTCCCACATGCACACCTCCAAATCAACCTTGCCGCACAGAGCTTGAGAAAGTTGGTGCGTGATGACCTGATGACCTGGCAAGATTTCACTTGGTAATCCCGCCAATCCTCTCACAGCTAAGTTGTGTCAGGAATCCTCCCAAGATTGGACTGTCAGCCCACCTGAACATGAGAGATCTTGAACCAGGTGGAGCATCCAGATCTGAATGTTTACCGTACCTTTTGCTCGATTTGCGACCCTCCTCCACTTCCGATTGAGCCCACCACGCAATAAGCCTGGCGATTTTTGCCATCATGTCTTTGTCCTGAATGCAGAATTCACTCAAGCCAATAGCAGGCTGTGACGCTCACAGCAATGTGAGGACGGAATCCCAAGCAAAAAGCTTGACCAATGATTATAACAACGCACTTGAACCTATCGACGTGGCGTGTGTTCCCCAGACGAACCACAAGGTGGGACACTGAGTTCATGGAGAAAGAGCAAGTTAGCAGCATTTTAAAGAATCGCTAGAAATGCGACACGGTAAACAGATAAACAAATAGACGTAAAAACACACATAAAGAATACAAAAGAGTATAAGTAGTGAAGCTGGCCTTTCCGTCAGAGGATTTCTGTTATGAGCGTTTCAGTTGAGAGGAAAGCCACCAATTTCTGTCGAAGGCTCCAGCGTCCGACTTCCGATGCGCCTGCAGTTTGGCGATGCCAAAGGCATGAGCTGTTAGAGCCAACTGATGAGGGTTGTACCTGCAAAGTGCCGGGTGATGGGTGGATCCTGAAGAAGATAGATAAGAGAAACAATGAGAAACAGGACGGAAAGAAAAGGAAGATCGCACAATCCAAACAAACTCATGTGCGGGCTGTCCTGAATGTTTGGGCCTCAGGTGGGGCACAATTAAAGCAATCGAAGTACAGTGTGAGAGAAGATCCGACGCTGTATAAAAACACAGCACCCAGCTCTCTGGGGGTTGATGGAACTTTTACCACTATATAGTCATGGCATGTACTGGCTCTGTATTTGCTACTAGGACATTTTCTTCACTTGTTCTCTTTTGTACGCCTGCATTTATCATGAAGGGTTGAGAGGATTGAAGGAATCCGTCCGTCGAACATGAATCAAACGGCGTTGAGGATGAACAGACTGGACAAGTATGTTCTCCACATTTCCACGCTTGACCGGGTCAACCCATCTTGAATGATACAGGCACGATCACCCGTCCCGATCTAGGGACCGTGGGTGGGACCACCACCAAAATACTTTTTCTTCTATTTTGAAGTGGGGGGACCTAGTCGTGAAAAAATATTTCTAGACGTGTCAGACGCGAGCTTGGAATATTTGGGCTCCAGAACAGTTTTGGTTACGAGCGTGTCCATGTGCTCCAATTAATTTCTGGATCAATCCCGGGGGGGAACTGAGTCGGATAACCGAGCTGTCGGAAATTCTCACGGAAAGCTTTTTCCGACAGACGGAATCTAACACACAACCCGCGACATCAGTCGCGCGATGTCCAACTTCCAAACAAGAGACAACCAATGGAACGCAATAAGGCTTCTGACATCATGGAGCTTGAGTTGCTGGGGAATAAATATCAAGAAAGATTGAGACAAGCCAAAAAAAGAGAACAGGTGGCACAAGAACACATGGTTAACGATATTCAAAAAAGGTCAAAATTATTTGATAGGTTATTGACCACTGGATGACTCATATATTAATTTTACAGTGAGATGCTGTAGTGGTTTAGTTTTGTTTTTGCTTTCACATGTATAGAAAGAGGCAGATGCAAAAGGAAGGCGTCGGTACTTAACACATAATTGGAATACATTGGAGAATTTTTAAAAGGTACCTGACCCCTCCCCC